GAAGCTCTCCTGGGTGTCAGGGGACAGAGGGATAGTCCAGGCCTGGAGAAGCTCTCCTGGGTGTCAGGGGACAGAGGGATAGTCCAGGCCTGGAGAAGCTCTCCTGGGTGTCATGGGACAGAGGGACAGTCCAGGCCTGGAGAAGCTCTCCTGGGTGTCAGGGGACAGAGGGACAGTCCAGGCCTGGAGAAGCTCTCCTGGCCCTCAGGGGACAGAGGGGTGCTCCAGAAACCCGTTCCCAGGAGCAGTCTTGCAAGCAGACCCTTCTGAGAAGGTAGCCCAGGTCTCTGTGCTGAATCTGTCCCGCACAGAAGCCTCACCCACCAACCACCAACCACGGCGGCCACGGCAGCAGGATGGGAAAAAGGGCCAGGTGTGTCCTGGGCCATTCCTTCCTGAGGAGTAGATAGAATGTCCCTTCTTTTGTGGAAAGACCAGAGCGGAATGAGTGCTGAGCATCCTCCACCGCAAATGCAGATTTTGATGCAGATCTATTTATACCCACTACGTGTTTTCCTTAAGCATGATGGGGCTTCCCTCCCCACTCACCGCCCGGGGCTCCCACTGCTCAGTGCTGTGTCCTGGTCATCCTCCTCGGCTCTGCACAGACCTGTCTCATTTCCATGTCTGCCACGGCCACCCCTTCCAGATCTTTGTGCTCCTATTTTGCCGCCATGGATCTCATGACCTCGGGCACATCAGCCTCTTCCCTGGGCCACTGGGCCTCATCTGTGAAGCACAGAGACTGAGGGGATGCCCGGAATTCAGGCACTCATGCCGAGGAGGGCCCAGCAGCCCCCTGGGTGGGAGGAGCCTGGGTTGGAGAGTGTGCGCCTCCGAGAGCTCTCATTTCCCGTGGGATGCCGGGGGTGGCGTCCCGTTCATGCTTATCTGGGCTGAGTTCTGAGCCAGCTCTCCGATTATGTGATTTCTGGGTCAGTGGCTGCAATGCGGTTTCTGGCATCATGTCAGCCTTGCAAATACCATGCAGGTGTAAGGTCCAATCTCATCAGAGGTGACGGTTCAAAGAGAAGAGGGAGAGGAGGTGGCTTGTCATCGGTTGTTAGGAATGTACAGGGACATTTGGGGCGGCGTTGGACCAAGATGGGAGGGCTCGGGTCCTTGTCCTGGGAACGCCTTTCCCCCGGACCTGGGTCTCTCATCCGTGGACGGGGGAGGTCACCTCAGGTGCTCGAGAGATCCTGGCGAGTCTCCAGCGCCCTGAGCGAGAACTTTGGCGTCTGTACAGTTTTGTAGGTGGCACGTCGGGGAAGCATTGTCTGTCCCATTTTAACAATGGAGAAATTAAGTGCACAAACATCTCAGGTCACGCAGTCCACACGTGGTGGGGAAGCCCGTTTCCTTGCGCCTGTGCCGTCTGGTCAGGTTTCATCTGGTTCTAGCATTTTTGTTTTTGTTTTTTTCCCTGTCTCACTGCACTTTTCTAGGTTATTTGTTACTAGCAAAAAATATTTGTGGATTTCCAATTAAACAAGTTACAGACAACACATACAGTTATCTCTCCTCTGCCTGAGACACCAGTGAATTGCAGTAAAGGAACAAAAAGGCCCACTAAGGAAAAGGAGGGGAGCCGAAGAAGGAGGTTGCCGCGTTCTTGCCAGAGGAAGGGGAGGAAGCTGAGCAGGTCCTGGAAGCTGGCGGCTCTACCAGCTGCCGCCCTGCTCCGGGCGAGGGGAGGAGGCGGGGACCTTGGGAGAGGTGCTAGCCCCGTGTCACCTGCTTGGAGCCTCCGTTTGTGTGTGTTTTAACTTTTTATTTGGAAATAATTATAGACGTACAGGAGTTCCAAAGACACTACAGGTAGACCCCACAGTTCCACCCGTGCTACATTCTGTATAACTAGCACGGCACCCAAACCAGGAGTCCCAGCTGGCAGAACCTGTGTGTTTAGTTGTATGCCATTTTTTTTTAAGATGGAGTCTCACTCTGCTGCCCAGGCTGGAATGCAGTGGCACCTTACCAGCTCACTGCAGTCTCCACCCCCTGTGTTCAAGTGATTCTCCTGCCTCAGTCTCCCAAGTAGCTGGTACTCCAGGTGAGCACCCCCATCCCCAGCTAATTTTTATATTTTTAGGAGATATGGGGTTTTACCATGCTGGTCAGGCCGGTCTTGAACCCCTGACCTCAAGTGACCCACCCACCTCGGCCTCCCACAGTGCTGGGACTACAGGTGTGAGCCACCACACTGACCTCAAGTGACCCGCCCACCTCGGCCTCCCACAGTGCTGGGATTACAGGTGTGAGCCACCACACTGACCTCAAATGACCCACCCACCTCGGCCTCCCACAGTGCTGGGATTACAGGTGTGACCCACCCACCTCGGCCTCCCACAGTGCTGGGACTACAGGTGTGAGCCACCCACCTCGGCCTCCCACAGTGCTGGGACTACAGGTGTGAGCCACCCACCTCGGCCTCCCACAGTGCTGGGACTACAGGTGTGAGCCACCCACCTCGGCCTCCCACAGTGCTGGGACTACAGGTGTGAGCCACCCACCTCGGCCTCCCACAGTGCTGGGACTACAGGTGTGAGCCACCGCACTGACCTTCTGTCATTTTTTCCACACGTGTATTTGTGCAGCTACCACCACGGTCCAGACCCAGCACTGATCCGTCTCCACCGAGTTCTTCCCGGACCTCCTTGTTACCATCACCTCACCTTGTCCTCCCCCATCATTGCAGAGCCCTGAAGCCTCCAATCTCTCTTCATGACTGTAACCGTGTCATTTCGGGAATGTTGGATCAGTGGAATCATACGTTACATGGCCTGTGTCTTTCCCCCTCAGCACAGCACCTTGAGGTCCATCCAAGCTGCTGCTTGTGTCGATATTATTTTCTGTTTTTTTTTTGAGATGGAGTCTTGTTCTGTGATCGAGGCTGTTCTGCCATCTCAGCTCACTGCATCCTCTCCCTCCCAGGTTAGAGCAATCGTCCTGCCTTAGCCTCCCGAATAGCTGGGATTACAGGCACACCACCACCCCCAGCTAATTTTTGTAATTTCAGTAGAGACGGAGTGTCACCATGTTGGCCAGGGTGGTCTTGAACTCCTGACCTTGTTATCTGCCCACCGTGGCCTCCTGCAGTGCTGGGATTACGGGCGCGAGCCACTGTGCCCGGCCGTCAATATTGCTTAACCGCTGAGTATTCCCTTCCCTTTCCGCTTGTCTGTGTCATTACACTTCAAGTGAGATTTTGGTAAACATCAAATAATTGGGTCCTAGTTTTTGAAAGTCCAGTCTGTCAGTGTGTTTTTTAATTGTTGTGTTTAGAGCGTTTACATTTAGTGTGATTATTGGTGTGTTAGGGCTTAGGTCTGCCGTTTTGCTTCTGTTTTCTGTTTGTTCTCTCTGTCTGTTTCTTTTTGCCTTCCTGTGCGTTACTGGAACTGTTTTTAGAATTCTACTTTGGGCCGGGCGTGGTGGCTCAGGCCTGTAATCCCAACACTTTGGGAGGCCCAGGTGGGCAGATCACGAGATCAAGACCATCCTGGCCAACACGGTGAAACCCCGTCTCTACTAAAAATGCAAAAAAATTAGCCGGGCGTGGTGGCGCGTGCCTGTGGTCCCAGCTACTTGGGAGGCTGAGGCAGAAGAATCGCTTGAACCCAGGAGGTGGAGGTTGCAGTGAGCCGAGATTGCACCACTGCACTCCAGTCTGGTGACAGAGCAAGGCTCTGTCTCAAAAGAAAAGAAAAAATAGAGAATTTTGGGTCATTAGTTTTTTTTATCATCTAGCACTGGAAAAAATATGCCACATTCTTCTGGCCTTTCTGACTTCGGATGAGAAGTACATCGCTGCTGGAATTGTTTTGCCCCTGTGGTCAGGCGCCACGTCTGTCTTACTGCTTTTAAGATTTTTAATTTGTTTTTGGTTTCGGACGTTTGACTGTTGCGTCTCTCTGGGTTTATCCTGTCTGATGTTCAGTCAGGTTCTGGAGTCTGTAGGGTTGTGTGTTTTTTGTCAAATACGGGAAATTTTGGCGATTACTTACTTACATGTGTTTTCAGTCTCGCTGTCTTTTTCTCTTCCTTCGGGAACCCTGAGCGTGAAGTATGGTCTTTTGTTGCAGGGCTGCAGGTCCCGGAGGCTCCGTTTGCTTGTGTTTTTCTGTGGTTTGTTTGTTTTCTCTCTCGTTCTTACCAGGCAATTTCTGTTTTTCCGTCTTCCTCCCTCCGTCTCCTCCGTCCCCCTGTTGAGTCCATCCGTCGGGTTTTTCCTTTTGGTTACTGCATTTTTCGGTTCTAAAATTTGCATTTGATATATCTTCTCTTTCTCTACTGGAAATTTATGTTTTTTCATTTCTTTCGAGCATGTTCCTGATCACTTGTTGAAGCATTTCTCACGTGCCTGCTTTAGAATCATGGTCATATAACTCTAACATGTGTGCGGTTGGGTGGTGGTGGCTGTTAGCTGTCTTTTCTCATCCTGCTTGAGATTTTCCTGGCTCTTGGTACAACTAGTGATATGTAATTGAAACCTTGATAGTTTCCATTTTATGTTAAGAGACTCAGGATCTTGAGTTTTAGCTGGTTCCCTTGACGTGTCTGGGGTGAGGGAAGGAGGGCCCTGCCCATCACTGCCACCCGTCTTCCTCTGCCTCCCATCTGAACGCTGCTCTCCCAGGCTCTGTTGTCACTCTGGGCCCTTGTGCTCCAGGAGACCCTCACAGCCCACAGTTCACTACCCCTGTTCTGCTAGGTGGGCTGCCCCTCCTCATCACTGCCACACGAAGGGTAAAGTCAGCTCCCCTGGCAGCCTTCATTGACGGTTCCCAGGGAAGGCTCCTTTTTGCTGCTGAGGGTGAGAAGACTTCCAGCCCACCATTAGGCTGCTGCAGCCACCCCCATGGCTGGAAGGGGCAGGTGACTTGCTATTGCTGGGTGGGGGAAAGTCATGGCTTCCCACCGGGCCTCCTGTGATGGCCCCACAGGGTGCAGGAAGGGCATCTCACTCCCTGGTGACTGGTGCTGTGTCTTTGCAG